CCGGACCCCCCCGGCCCCCCTCCCCGTCCCCTGCTGCTGCTCCTGCTTAAAGCCCCCGGAAGCAGAGAAGAGGAAAGGCTGTTTGGGGGAGAGGAATGGCCAGACCCGCAGAGGCCGAAGGAAGCGTTCTTCAAAACAGCGCGCGTGTGCCCGGCCCGTGTGGAAACACGAATAAACCAACAGAACAAACAGAATGATTTGCCTGGACTTTAAAACCCACTTTGTTGCACCATCACTCACATTCAAAGTCAGGACAGGTTTAGAAACGAAACGAGAAACAGAAACAGGCACGTTGACATCCACGGCGACATGTAAGCCAAGCCACATTTGCAGGTGTGCGCGGGCTGGACACTGAGGGTGCCGTCTTGCGCTTTACGGCCCAGGCCCGTCTCCTCGGTCTGGTCGGCACGGTCAGGCCAAAGTCGCTGCTGGGCCAGGCCGGGCCGGGCCGGGCCAACCTTCCCCGGTCCAGGGCCCTGTCAATGGGTCAGCCTAGAGCTGCTGTTGCCTGGGATGGACCTGGGGGACCTCAGCTTGGGGAAGGCTGGGCGAAGCGTAATAAACAAATCAACCTGCTGGGGCGTTCGTTTTTACGGACGCACCTCTGGCCGCATCGTCGGGTCGACGCCCCAGAGGAGATCTTTCCCTGCCTCTCGCTACGATCGATCGCCCCGTCTCCGTACGGAGGACCTTCAGCTTCCCTCCAAGGCTCTTCAACTCGCCAGGCTCTGTAGCCTCCCGCTCCCCACTCAGAAACATTCGGGGCTGCGCTCAGCCAGATTGCGTGGCCCTTTATTTTCCCACCTGGCTGAAAAACAGCAGCTCCCAGCTCTTCCCCGTGGGGAATCACCGAAGCAGCCAAATCGGTCCCAGTCTATCCAGAGACGGTTCCTTCCTCCGTCAGCGGGATGTGCTCTCCAGCAAGGGGCTTCCGGTTTGCCACCTTAGCCGCTAAAGAGGCGAACATTGGGCTCTGTGGCTTCTTTTGCGGACGCACAGAGAAAGCCAGGGGAGGCGTGACCCCACCAGAGCCAAAGCTTGGGTTAGGCCCCTCCCCGGTCTAAAGGCTTGCCGTTCACTTGGGCGGCTCTTTAGCAACCTCTAAGCATGCATGTTGGTTCGGAAAATGGATGAGATTCACACAGGAAACTTGATTGAAACCGCTCGGGTTGGAACGAACCCACTCCGGAGCTTAGGGCAGAAGAGGTCGGTAACGGTTGTTGCATTTTGCGAAGGTGTGGGGCAGGGGTAGCGAGGGGCGGAAGTGGCCTCAGGCTTTCTTGAGCATCTTGGTGGTCTGGTTGTTGGCTTCGTTGATGCTGATCACGTTGGCAATGGCCTGGAGAGGAGGAGAAGAAGAAGACGCGTGCTGGGGTCAAGGGAGCTCCCCGTGGTCCCCACAGACTGCCCAGGCCGCTGCTGAAACAGATGCTGCTCCTCCCTGGGCTATCTATGGGGCAGGGGCATGTGCATAACTTGATTCCCAGAAAAGGTTTGAAAAATCCAAGCAGAGGGCAGCAAAACGTCTTTAAAATGTGCTTTAATCAGTCCTCGCCAACAAAACACAATCCGGCATTATCAGGCGGCGGGTAGCCTCTCTTGGGCAGTCGTTGCACTTACCAGCAGAAAACAAGCCGGCCGGGCTGCCTGGCTTATTTTTTGCTGGCAAGCAAGGGACCAAATGCCCATGCAGCGAGGTCACCGTGCAAGCCCAGCCCCGCAGTGCTGACCTGACACAGGCACATCAAAGAGAGGCTTGTGCAGAGCGATGATGTGCTTTGCTGCAGACGCCCCTGTGGAAAAATATCTCAGAAGCGGTGAGGAGAACCACTTCCAAGTTGGTCAACTTAATCATCAGCTGAGCCCGAGGAAGCCTTTACTTTTTAAATAATAAAGCAACGGTGCCCTCTGCTGCTGAATCAAGAAATAGCCACAGCAGCATACTTGAAACAGGTAGGTACTTCCCCATCGCAATCGTTTGCAAGCGACCTCTGATTATCTTCGCTCCAGCTCCCATTGAAACACTGAGAATAGGAAGAATACCTGTGCCCACCTCCATCAAATTCATAGAACAGGGCAGAACAGGCCACCCAATCAGTGCACTGGTGCTGCTGGCTTTGCAGCACCAACGCCCCCTCGGCCCCACTTCACATAAAAGAGAAATTAAACAATACTATCCTCTCTCCCTCACCCCCACTCCTATCTTCAATACATGTCCCCCCAAAAAGCTAAGAAGTTGCTATGAGAAAAAATTTCCCGGCTGCAAAGATGCCATTCCTCTGTTGCCTTTAAAAGCCTTTTGCAAGCTGGAATGGTGAAGTGATCGCATGCAGCATCTTGCAGCTAGGTACATGGACCGTGGCTTGCAGGTGGAGTAGGGAGAGGGGGAGAGAGAGGCATTGTTGAACTGCCTACACAAAGGCTTGAAGAAAAGAGCCCTAAAGCTTGGATGCCCAATGAACGAGGAAACCTTGCGGGCTTTGCAGGTTGTTGACGGGAACGTGTGGAAAATAGGCAAGGCAGGACTTGGGGAGGGGAAAGCCATTCATCTGCATCGTTTATTCAAGGTATAAAGTTGGATGCAGAAACTCATCTACATTTCTGTTATAATTTTAACTGTATCTTAATCATGGCTGAGTGCATCGCTCACCTTCTCTTTGATATTGTCCACCTGCTTGCTCTGGACATCGATTTCGTTGCTCATATCCACCGCCATACTGCGCAGGTTGCTCAGCATGCTGTCCACCTGGGTCAAATTCTGCTCTATCTCATCCTCCACGTCGTCTTTCATTATCCTGAGCAAGAGCACATGTGCAAAGACCAGAAGGAAGAGCACAACCGATTCTGAGCTCGGGCTTCCACAAGACCCAGTTCTTGGACTCTTAAAGTGAGGGTTCCCAGGCTACAAGCCCGCTCGTGTCAGCATGGCATGACCAATAAATTCAAGCAATAAAAGTCCCAAGCCTTTGCTGTGTCTCTGTATGAATCACAGTCCTGGTTCTGGTCTCTAACTGCCAGCCTCCATGCAGCAATGTCCACAGAAGCCCCACTGATGCGTGATAACACATGTGCAGTGCTGTCACAGAGCATAACCCTGCCCTTATGTATTTATGTCCCAATTTTGATGCAATAATTGGCATTTGCACAACTCATCCTGTGGCCCCCTGTGCACACGTATGCCTCCACAGGGGGTAGATACACATTTCCCCTGTTTGTTTCTCACTTACATTCAGATCAGTCACTCCTGAGATGGGGTGTGTGTGCGTGTGTGTGTGTGCACGCACATACAGTGCAGGACTCTTTGTCCTCAAAGGAGTGTACTAGATGTGTCTCTGCATAATCAGCTATGTTTTGTCCGTCTGCTTGTGCATGTCTAAATAAAAGGGGACGTGTCCTCTTCAATGGCTGGCTCATTCTCAAAAAGGGATTTTTTAAAAATTTTGTTTAAAAGTACAGAACTGATGACAAATCTTTGGGAACATATCTCAGTATAACAGCCTCATAACAGATATGCTCACAAGGGGTTGATAAGAACATAAGAGCTTGCAAACAGTCGATAACATTAACACGGTTTACAGCAAACTCAAGACATGGCCTGGAAATTCAGTTTGCAGGAAGGCTGAATTTTCCTTAAGAGTTTTAAGAGTGAAGTCCACTGACAACGTTTAACCAAAGGAAAAGCGTGCACACTTGCATGATTCTTTCTCTCTCTCTCTCTTACACACACACACTCACACCAAGGTCTAACTCGGGCTCAGCAAATCGTATCAAAATCATCTCTAACTCTTTCACAACCTGAGGCCTACCAGATGCACTGGACTGGCTGGGAACTCTGGGAGATGTAGTACCAACACATTTGGAGGGGCCCTAATTTGGGAATTCTGTGGAAGGGTCTGCTTTCCCCCCTCCTTTCCTGTTCCCACAAAGCCACCCATAAACAGGAAAAATTAAATCCCTCTCCAGTTAGAAAAAGCCTTGAGGCCCTCGAGTGGAAGCAGGAGCCCAAATTAAAACATCTCCAAGAGTTGGCTGTCCAGCCTCTGTCTGAAACTCAGCAAGGAGTTCTGCCTAATGCTCAACCAGAATCCGCCTTCCTGTAACTTAAGCTGATTATTCCGCTCTGAGATGGGGGAAAACAAGGCTTCTTCTTCTTCCCCGAGCCACCTTTTCACGTGCCCGAAGAGCTCTCTGAGCTCCATCAACCTCCTCTTCTTCTTGAGGCCAAACACAGGCAGATCCTTCGGTCTCCTCCCAAAGGACTGAGACTTCCAGACCCTTGATCATGCCATTGCCCTTCCATGGGTCTGAGCTCTTCTCAAGTCTAGAACTTTTCTTCTGGAACATCCAGAACTCAAGGAAGGGCCTGATCAACCCAAAGAGAGGGGACCTAGAACTCCCCGATATTACTGTGGTTGGTGCAGCTGAAAACGGAAGCGCCTTGGCTCTGCAACCCTCTCCCGCTACCGGCTCGTCTTTGGGTTGATGCAAGATCCGTTTCACCTGGGCAAGCCGGGGCTCCCCTGGCGCGTTGGCTTGGGCGTTCCCAAGGACAGGAGCTTGCCTGTGGCCCTCTTGAACATCCTTCTGCTCTTTTCAGCTCGTTTCTCCAGCCTCCCAAAAGGGTCGGGTTCTCCTTTCCACCCTTCACACTAGGGTCATGTGTGTGAGTGTGTGAGTGTGCGTGCACCTGCAGGTTTGGTTAGCTTCTCGCCCCTTCTCCTCCACCGCCCTGGAAAGAGAACCCCGCACCTACCTCTGGATGAAGGGGCCGCTCATCATCATCTGGGTCCCCGCCGTCATCATGATGGGCTGCTGCGAAACCACGTCCTGGGCATTGCCGGACGCGGCCTTGCTGGCCTCCATGGCCTTGATGTTCTTCAACCTATGTTGGAAAAGAAAAGCGCGCCTCCGCTCTCATCCGTGCTCGCCCCATCACTGAGGCTCCATGCTAGATGACAAGGGGCTCCATGGGGGTCGAACACATCAAGATGGCAGTCACCGCCACACAACCCAAGCCCTGTCCCCGACTCGTCTGAGCCCCCTCCCAGCCCTGCAGACACTCCTGCAGAAGGAAATCGCAAGAGTCTCTTCTTGGGAGTGCGAGAGAGCAGAAGAAATCCATGAAGGAAAGCCTGGCAAATCACCGCAGGGAGAATGAGAAGAGTCTCCTTGTCCAAGGGCAGTTTATCTGCAAACACCAGATGCTCCTTGGCGAGGGCAGAAATACATGCCCAAAGCACCCGGGTCCAACCCAGGAAGGACTCGCATCGATCTGCTTCGTGCACAGCTCCATAAGATGGCGTATTTGATTAGAGTCCCACGCAGACAAGATTGCCGTGGCTTATGGAACACCTCGTGGTCAACCCATGAATCCCGGCTTAAGAGTTGCCTGCGACAACCCCGGCGCTGTCGCCCAAGCACTTACTTGGCGCAAGGGCAGACGAAAAGGCCGCAGCACTTGGCCATGTCGCTGAGGTTCTTCTCGGCTTCCTTCATGTCTTGGATGATCTGGTCCAAGCCGTCCTCGATGCGGTCCAGCTGCTCTGAGCAGGAGGAGGGGGAGAGGCAAGACCGTGAGAACGTGGCTCCGGGAGGGCCCTCAAGGGGCATCGGGAGGGCATCCGCAGGGGAGGGGGTTGGGTCAAAGGGGCCAAGGTGGTGGCTGCAGTCATGCAGCTGGGGCTCTGCAACACGCATCGGTCAATGCCACCCTCCTGACTCTTTGAAACCGCCCCCCCTGGATGCCCCTGATCCCGCATTAGTCAACACCCGACTCGGATGCGCAAGTCTGGCCAGCAGAGCCCCATGTCTGAATGCTCCCCTTGACTGCTGCTTGTTTTCCATCCACCTTCTAAGCAGAATTTCTGCCCGACGTGCATCTTCTCTGCTGTATTTTTAAATTATTGCAGAGCAATGTGTCTCCCTCCCACCTTCTCAAGCCCTCTCTAATGTAATCCTCCTAGCCTATTCTATTACCGATGTATAGTATTATTGTTATTAGCTGATTATGATGTGCCTGAATTTATTTCGCTTTTTTCGGCTGATCAGCTGTGCGCCACCCAGAACCATGCAACTGGGGTGGTATAGAAGAATGTTGAAAGAAGCATGCGCGAGCAATGAGCACATTCAAACTTTACGCTGCCATTATGTGGCTTGTTTGATTGAGTGTGTGGTATAATTGTGGTTTATAAAACACCGCTTAGGGTTGAGCATTACGGGGCGAATGCAACCAGTCGGATTCATCCTATGAACCATGGTTAAAGAAATGACAGTTTAGTAAGTTGGGATAATCCAGCAATTTTCACACTGCAAGAAATCCATCTTCAAGCCTCAGAATTTACCCCCTTGATCATCCAGCATAACCAAAGTTCGAATCCCAGCATCTTTGCTCTGTTGGAAAACGAAAGAATAAACAAGAATGAACAATGGCTTGGCTAGAATTTTAAAAAGCAGGAGTCTCAGTTTATCCCAAGTGATCCCTGCTAGCTAGTCATAAAAGAGCCATTCATGACTTCCTCTGTTTCTCTCTTACCTCATCTACCAGCTGCAGCATCCGTCTGGTGCTTTCCAAAGACTGCAGAAGGGTAGAAAAGAATGCAATATTATGAGAGAAAAACAGTCGCTGTCAACAATTCTCCTTCTGTAAGGTCTGTTTCAGAGGGCTGGACTAAAAAAAAAAAATCTGTTTTCCAACTAGGAATCCTGGAATACCCATTGCAGAAATTCCAAAATTTCTGATTAAATAGGTACCTTTTTTTAAAGGGTCAGCTTCTGCTACCAACTCTGCGTATGTTTCTCATTTATTGGAAGCTAACCGAAAAAGGTCATGTTTAATCAGCTCTAAAGCAGTCCAGGTGCTTCCAGGACGCCCAGGCTGATCGCAAAAGGAAAAATCCTGCCATTATTTGTGCTCGGCATCTACAGTTCAGAAGCTGAGTGCTTCCAGAAGAGGAGATTTCATGGAATCATCAGAATTCTCCTTCGTGACTTGGTCTACGCGAGCCAGCGGTCAACCCAAGGGCTTGCGGCAGTGAGCTCTGAAAGTTAGTTATGCATTTTGGGAAGAAGAAGTATTTCAGGTCACCTGCTCTGCATGCTAGTCCAGTGCTTATCTCACTTCTCTTTCCGATCAGAATTTAGGACATTTCTGACATGGGTGCTCGCCACGTCCAGATATCTCTGCTTAGAACAAATGTTGACTGGGTTGCAGTTTCAAGACCCTTTAACATTTGCTGCAAAGTAAGAACGACTCATCTGACTCAAATTTTATGTGGAGGAAAAATATATCATTCCTACGCTCATCCTTCCACTTCAAAGAAGTATGTCAGTGTTGTCCAAACTTGGCCACTTTAAGATGAGTGGACTTCAACTCCCAGAATTCCCCAGCCAGCCATGCT